TAGCCAGTAAGTACCTCGCCACTCTCCTCCTTGGTCCCCTTCTCCCTCCTCCTCCTACCGGTAGAGCTCCACCATAGCCAAGGTGGAAGCTCCCGATTTCTTCCCCCCAGCAGCGCTGTAGTGCCCAGCGCTACACCACCTAGCGCACCAGCAGCGTGACGCCCAACTCGCACACTGAAGAATGAGGCCGGGCTCCTTGCCCTGCCTCTTGATATGGCGGCCTACTTGCCTCCTGGGCGGTGACTTCCAGGCCGCTCGGCCTCTCCAAGCAACCGCTACCTCCTCCGTTTCGGAGGGAAACATCATTGCAGACCCTGATATTACCCGTACAGGCTCTAGACTCAGACTGGTTGGACTGGTACCGGCCTAGACCTATCCTACCGCTACTGGGCTCTAAAAATGCCAACTTTGTCTTTTTCTGCTCAGCCTCCAGTACCCCCTCACGCCAACTGCAGTGGGGTGCAGTATAGGCCTACCGGCCTACTTGAGTGTTTTTCCGCTACCCCAAGGCCTCAGGGCCGCTAGCTTCGCCACTTGAGTGTTTTTCCCTGCTACAACCCTCAATGCCACGGCCACAGGTAAGTACCGGCCCTACAGGCCTACCAAACAAGCAAGTACCCTTGCGGGTCACACACACACTCATACCGACAAGCACTCAGTCAGGCACGCAGGTCACAAGCACGCACACACAAACAGACTTAGAAAACAGAGCAGAATGCGGGAATCTCAGCAAGGCATCCATTCCATCGGCAGAACTTCAGAAATCAGCAGTGTTCTCAGTCTGTGTTTTGACGGGTCATTACACTACCCCCCCCTCAAGAGCGAGGTCCCTTCGAGCGCGTAACTCAATCAGAGTCCTTGCATAGTGCATCATAGGCGTAGATAGCGAAGAGAGATCGGGCGTGTTCCGTAGGAGTCAGGGTAGCAGTGAACTTTGGTTGCTGTTCGGCACTTATCAATCGTTCATAGGCATTAACAACACGTGGTGCACTCTGCAGTAAGTCTTTCCTAGCAATCCAATAGAAGTCATCCAACGGATGGTACAGAAAATGGACTTTATACTGTCTGTTTCTTCCCTTCCCACTTTGTTCAACAATCCTATCAACCTCATGACCGCCATTGATTGTGCGGGGAATCATTGATTCTCGGTACTTGAAAGTTTCCGGTGATTCATACGGGAACAACTTTGAGGCGTGAAAGACTGGGTATGTGCGCAGATGTGCAGGCACATCAATCGTGTAGGAAGGGCCGAAAGAATCACTCCCTACCTGGTTCAAGACCTGCCACGGACCGTAGTACTGAGGAAGAAGTTTTCGTGATACACCTTCTTCTTCAGAAAACTCAGACATTTTGACCCAGACATAGCTTCCCATTGTGAATGGTGCAGGCTGGCGCTTTTTGTTAGCATGTTTAATCATGGCACTGCGTCGCCTTTCCATAGCTGCGACAACAACCTTGAGCAACCGATCGTACTTAGCGCTGTAGCCTGGCTGGCCAGGTGTCAGACTAGATGGCTGTTCAGGGAGCAGGTAGGATAGAGGATTGCAAATTTTCCATCCAAGATGCAGTCGGTTAGGCGTCATCCCGGTGGAAGAGTGGATGGAGTTGTTATACAACCCCTGCACGATTGGCAATTCCTCATCCCAAGAGTTCTGATCAGGCACAATTAAGGCTCGGAGAAGTTGGATCACCGTCCGGTTGATCTCCTCGGCCAGTCCATTGGCTTCGGGATGTCGACCAGATGTCATCTTGAGTTTCATGTCATAGACCTGGGAGGTGAAGTCCTTCCATTCTGCGCTTATGAACCTAGTGCCCCGGTCACTCACAAGAGTTTTTGGGGGCCCACACTACATAATGTATCTTTTGTGAAATTCTTTGATAACAAGGTCTGTTGGGGCGTGAGGTGGTAGTGGAATCAGATTCAAAAACTTCGAAAAACGATCGACAATCACCATAACTTGGGAATAACCGTTTCTGCTCTTCTTCCCCATGTCCGTGAAGTCAATAGAAACAGACTCCCCCGGACCGTCAGGAATAGGAAGAGGGTGCAGCAGCCCGTAAGGCTTCTGCCGAGACGGTTTAATGCGTTGACAAACTTCACACTCAACCACAAACCTTTGCGCCATCCTTTTCATACCAGGCCACACAAACTTTTCCAACAGATTCCCGTATGTCTTCTCAACACCGAAATGTCCACTCCGGCCATGAGCCAAATCCAAGAAGTGAGTGATGATTGGCTCATGGTTGGGTATACACAACCGGTCATGTTTACCTTAGCGTCGAAAGAGAAGGCCCTTACATCCATGGAAATCAGGCTGACTACTAGGGTCAACCCGAATCTGCTCAAGGATGGGACTGAGTTCCGGATCCTTGGCAGTGTGCTCAATGAGTTCCTTCTGTAAGTCCTTGCGAAGATCGTAGGAACCCACTAGGCAAGTCATGTACTCAGGGTGGCGAGACAAAGCATCCGCAACACGATTATAGCAGCCTTTCTTGTGTTTGAGTTCGAAATCATACACATCAATCTCATGCAGCCAGCGGGTCATCGTAGTTGATGGGTTTATCTGTGTCTGAATCCACTTCAAAGTCTCATGATCCGAGAACACTTTGAAATGGCGACCCAAGAGGTGGTGTTTCCAATGGTCTAGTGCCTTTCTCAAGGCATAGAGCTCTCTCATGTAAGTGGAGGCAGCTACCTTGTGGCTGGGTATGCGTTTGCTGTAGTATTCCAGCGGACGTAAACCATCGCCATCATCTTGCTGCGGCACTGCACCAATCCCATACAAACTTGCATCCGTAGTTACTACGAATGTAAGCTTGGGATCTGCAATGCGGAGCACCGGATGACTCACCAAAGCCTCTTTGAATGCTTCAAAGGCTGTCGTGCATTCTTCATTCCATGCGTAGGACACATTCTTGCTCGTTAGTCTAGACAATGGACGGGCAATGATAGAAAACTTAGGCACAAACTTACGGTAGTACGACACAAGACCAAGAAAAGAACGCAACTCGCGGACATTCGCAGGTTGGGGCCACTTTTGGATGACCTCAACCTTGGTTGCCTCGGGCTCTAGGCCTGCAGCAGACAACCGATGTCCAAGGTAGATGACGCTGTCCCTCCCAAACTCAGATTTCTCCAAGTTGAGATAGAGTTGCGCGTCCTTGAGGATCTGCATCACTTTCTCAAGTTGTCTCATGTGCTCCTCCATTGATTTGCTGAAGATAAGAATGTTATCCAGATATACAACAACAAATCGGTTGATCTGATTGCGAAACACTTTGTCCATGAGACTTTGAAAGGTGGCTGGTGCATTCGTGAGACCGAAGGGCATAACCGTAAACTCGTACAGCCCATCGCGAGTTTTGAATGCAGTTTTGTGCTGGTCGGCAGGTTCGATTTCAATCTGGTGATAACCAGATTTGAGGTCGATCTTGCTGAAGACCTTGCATCCACCTGCAGCGTCAAGCAAGTCATCAATATGTGGCAAAGGGTATGCATTCTTCCTTGTGATTCTATTCAATCCGCGGTAGTCAATACACATCCGCAACTTACCTCCTTTCTTAGGGACAAACAGCATCGGTGCACCAAACTCAGACTCACTTGGTTTGATCCATCCCTTCCCAATCATATCATCAATTTGCCGTCGCAACTCCTCCAATTTGCCTGAGCCCATTCGATAGACACAACCCTTTGGAGGAGTGCTACCTTCAATCAACTCGATCCTGTGTCGGACCAGACGCACGGGGACTCCACGCAGTTCGGCCAAGACGTCAGAAAATCGGTTGAGAAGGTTGCGAATTTCCGGTGGGATTTTCGGAGGGGGATCATCACTCTCAGGAGCAAGCATGTCAGTTTGTATAGGTGCAACCAAAACAACAGGATTAGAAGTAGAGTCATATGGACTAGAGATGGACTTAGTAGAGGTAGAAGTAGTTGCATCCGAGGTGGACACAGCATGCAAAGTAGAATCATTATATACAGCAAAAATGGAAGGCACATGAGCAGGCCTAACAAAGGCTATATACATTTGCTCATCAGTTTTGCGTCTGCGCCACTTTTTGCAGAACTGCATTGCATTGAGAAAGGTCACTTGGGACTCGCGCGGCTTATCCAAGAGGACAGGACGCTCGATTCCCATGGCATCTTTGACCATGAATTGTAAATCCTTCCACGTGGTTCTTTCACATTGGGCCTGCAACCAGTCCAAGCCAATAACCGCGTCGAAGGGGCATTGATCAAGGACATAGATGTTCAATTCATGCGTGATTGTGCGGTCAGCGTCAAAGGTAGTGCGCACACCTTTTACTGCATGCGTAGATGTGACAACCTCATGGTTGCCTACTTCGGTCCGACAAGGATTCTGCAAAGTCACTTGCTTCATCCCCAAGCGTGCCTTACGAATGTCGTGCGGTGAGAAGTAGTTGGCGGTTGCACCACAATCAGCCAACGCACGGATGTAACGGCCATCAATGTAGAGTTTGAAGAAGATCAACTTCGTCCTCCCTTGCAAGCGTTTTTGCTTCATGTGAGCCCACCGCCTCAACAGAGCATGAAAGTCAATCTCTTTCGACTCTACCCAAGGCTCCTTGTATAGGATGTGTAACTTTTCAGCCTTGGAATCAGCATCAGATGAGGTTTCAGAAGAGGTTTGCTGAGTGGGATCAGACTCCAAAGAAGTATCTGTACTTACATGTTCAGCCTCTGCGTCCGTAGAGTGTGCTGATGATGCCTCTACCCCCGTTGCTGGTTTCCCTGCTGCAATCTGAAACAGTGTTGGACTGAATGTCTCGGTTTGGTGCAATGCAGGCAAACTCCTCTCTTCACCCTGTTCTTCCACTCACTTTCACTAATCCGGAGATCTATCCATGGTTTTGTGGCAGGATCTTCCGGTTTTGGTGAAATCTTTGCTCCCTTGGGAAGAAGGATAGTGTTAGTGTTGTTCTTCATCGTGGCCCTCGGTCCCTTACTTTTGAAGGCAGTCTTTTTAAAGGCATTCATAGATTCATCGTCACTTATACACTCAGACTCATGGGCTGACAAAGAGCAAGAAGCCCCGCAGTCTTGTTCTTGATCGTCATCAAGAGAAGATTCATCCATGAGGGTCTCCTCGTCAGCCTCAAGTAGATCATGTGCTGCAAAACGGTTGCTGCCTGGAAACCGTTTGCGGCCAGTGGCCTTTTTGCCACTTGATCCACCCGGGAGGTCTTGTGCCTCCAGCTTGACTAAGTCCCGCATGAGGGTAAGCCAATCTGTATATCCGTTGAGCCCGAGCCCTAGGCGATCTTTCAGAGTAGAGGGGACCGTACCTTTTATCACATCCAAACAAGACTGCGCAGTCATCTCCAGATCCGAAGTAGCAAAGAGTTTACTAACATACTGTTGCAGGTTGTGCATGGTGCCGGTCCACTTGCTGTGCTTGAGCTTGTCAAGCTTAAGTCTTGCTTTAGCTGCAACATGTGGATCAGCATATTGTTTGATCAAGAGATCCTCAAGTGCGGCAGTAGGCGTAGCCTTTAGCCATATGTTCAGGTCTATTCTCTTATAGCCTGATTGGACAGCTTGGGTTTCTAGGAAACCCCGCACGACGGGCTCCACATTGGTCCCCAGGATAGACGACTGAGTGGACGAGGGTGTCCCCAATACATCAAAGTAGGACCGCATAGAGCTGATCCAAGACTCGACGTCGTCCTTTCCGTCGCACTTGGACGGAATCTGCGCCGCCTTTCTGTCGATGTAAGCAAAGTTGTCGCCTGGCCCAGCCATTGCTGGGTTCGGGCCCAGCAATGGCTGCGGCAGCAGTAGCAGCAGCAGCGGGGTCTGGACTTGCTGCAGATCCGGATTGGCTGTTAGCCACACTCAAGAATGAAGAAGAAGTAGAAAAAGACACATTTAGAGGGGCAAAAACAGACTGACACACAGCACTAGAAGCAGGGTAGGTAGATGGAAGGATGCTTTGGGCTGGCTGCACGTTAGCAAGCTGTTGCAGCTGGTCACGGTGCTGCTGCGCCATCAAGGCCACGTCCTCGCGCAACTTTTTAAGCTCGTCGAATACTTTGGCGAGTTGGCCAGCGTGGTCCTCAACAGTCCTGACATCCACCAAAGCCCGGAGGAGTGGAACGGTTTTCTCCTCAACCTCCTCATCGGTTAGGGCAGGCAAGGTACAGAAAATGGCTTCATGAGCCTTGACCTTCTCCTCCCTCTCCTTCTCTTTCTCTTCCTCCTCCCTCTTCAATGCTTTCTCGTAGAAGAACCAGTACTGCGCTTTCTCTGCCTCGGGCGCAGCGTCCATTTGCAGCTTCCAATCTGCTGCAGATGCCATGATGGAGGATGAGGGTGTCAATAAGTCTCTCAAGAGGGGTCCGTACTTTCTCACTTGCCTGGGACGAACACTCCTCTTCCCTCTCCTCACTCCCTCAAGAGCAACACTCAGAAGCTTCTCTCTTCTCTCTCTCCCTCTCTCGTTTGCGATTGTGTAGACGCAGGCATTAAAAAACCCAATGGAAGAAACCGTTTGAATTCAGTCAGAAGAGAAGGTAGAACTCCTAGCCGGAGCGACAATTCATTTGGACTGGAGAGCAGTCAAAACAGTAAAAAAAGAAAAGATCAGAGAGATCTGATCCAGCCACACAGTCTGGACTGACTACGTATGGGGTCCTCCCAAGCCTAGCCAGCCTCAGCTCCGTGAAAACACAGCAAATCAGATTCAAGATGTACAGCGAAATGCAAGAGAGAATTGAGTGGTGTATAAGGTGCGAGTCAGGCGGCGGATTGTGTGGTAAAGTTTGATAAAACATCCCAGCGGAGATCCCCTCCGCAGCGAGTGTCCTGGTCCGAAAGCATAAGGTCCGTGTCCCAATCAGATAGAGCAAGGTAACTGACGTCAACAGATTTGGCCTGAGGGGCCCTTCTTGTTTGGGCCTGGTCCCACTGAGTCCCAAATGGTCCCAGGGGAGTCAGAACCGGGTCCCAACCAACAAGAGTTCCACAGAGACCTACTCTGTCCCTACTTGAATTGAAAAACGAAATTTTGCCCCAGAAAGAACCTGTAGACTACCGCCGTTCAGAATGAAATAAACAAAGCACTGTAGAAAGATATCATATAACAAACAAGATACTCCATTCATTCACTCATCAGGTGAGTAGGCAGTTCACACACCTCACACACAACCAAGACTATGGAGGATGGAAGAAGAACCAGAGAACCCCAACAGGCAGTCAATTCCATGCACACACACATGGGCACCCTGGTGGCACAACACTTACCTGAGTGGCCGGGCTCTTGAGATGAAAAGCTCACCCCCCTCTCACATAGTCCTCTTGACCCAATTAGCATCCTCTACACTAGTGTCCTATCATCTAGGAGGGTCAACATCTACCCCAAAGTACAAAGCCGGATCCCCCGTCAATGTTGAAGATCAAAGCAGCAACTTGCAGTCCGTAGG